AAAACAATCACAAAACAAGCTAGTCGTTAAAACAACTGGTAAAACACAATCAACATGCTAGGCACAGAGTCATCAGCACTTATTTCTAAAGCAGGCCTTTGGTAATAAAGTGTGTGTGTTTAGAAAGCCCTAATGGTCTCCATGCAGTGAGCAGAGCGCAGGAACCTGGGGAAGGAGTCTTTGGCCATCAAACTGTAGATCCTCTGCTGTGCCTTGTTGAATGTGTCGGCACACAGGGAGTCCATCAGATTCAACAGAGCCTCCCGGGTCTCAGCGTCCAAGTTTACCTGAGGAGGAAACAGATAATCAAAAGAAGCTCTTTATCCTGACTGTACACATCAACAAATCCCATTCATCATTTTTTTGTCCTTTCCAATTTTAATGCTCTGTGTCGCTCTTATATCACACTCTCCTCTCCACCAACCTCCTGCGGGGCATCAGGGTTGATAAACTGGCTGTAGATGCTTCCGGCCTTGGTCTTTGAAGGAGAAACCCTGTACTCCTCACAGGCCAGCCAGAACTTGAGGTTCTCCTCACTGAACTCTGAACGCAGGAACCCACGAAATGCCTGCAGACCACCTTGGAGAGAGATAAAGAAAGAGAAAGACAGGAGAATGAGTCAGAGGAAACTGAGACAAATCAAGAAGAGTCAATGTGACTCAACTGCAGCTCAAGCAACATATTTGACCAAAACTTCAAATCAGAAGCAGAACCTCAAAAATCTACAATAAAATAACTTCTTCCATGTGGCTCTGCCATGGAAAATGTGTGTAAAACGTAGGAAAACTAAAACAATTTCAATGAACATTTTGAAGTTACACTGACCACTGCTTAAAGGGATACGTCAGTGGTTTAGTGTTCCATAAAGTTGGGGGACTCACGAGAGGCATATTTTTTTTTTAAAAGGTCAACATCAAAGCAGCACAGGTCAAAATATCCCCTACTAGTCCCTATGATTAGACATAAATACCCTTTCAAACTCCCTGGTGTGTAATGCTGTCCGTTCTAGATTTTTAGTCTCTAAGCACAAGCTAAGGTAACACTAATGACATCTTCAGGGTTATTTTCTTGACCAATCTCCTCCACAGCCACAGAAGAATTTATACAACTTTTTACAGGCTGAGTACTTGTCATGATGAGTAATCTGGCTTTTATGTGTAAAATTGACAGAGTGCCCCTTTATGCCCTTTGTGGTTTCCAGCTGGCTGGAGTGAACTGTATGTGGATTTATTTTTTTATTTATATCATATTAATATTGACAGTATTATTTATTTTCCATAGTGAATCATAGTTTTAGTCAGCCAAAATGTGTACAAGAACAATAAAGTATTGTTATAATATAGTGGTGTCATATTCAGTTACTGTTAATGCATGAAGTTACTGTGTAGAGAATGACGTGTATGGAAGAGACACAAGATATAAGTATAAAACTAGCTGCAGTATTTTTTTACATACTTATACATGGAAGAATTTTTTAAAAGGGGAAAAAGACAATCAGTAAACTTTCAGAGTCTACATTTTAATTTTAATACTAAAAAAAAAAACCCGGTGTTATTAATTACATTAATGGTGGCTTTGTTCCATTCAAGTGTCCAAGCAGATTATCACAGTGTGACAGTGAACCAGCAGACCAGGACCCTGAAACTGAAGCAGCTAAATGTGATGTATGTATGTATATTAATGCTTTTCCTACTGTGACATGTGTAAAGTCCTTCTGCCTGTGTTGGTGAAACGACAAACTGACTTTTAAAGTTGTATAAAAAGAAATAAAAGGAAAAGGCTTTCTTACTTTTGTTGTTTAGCAGAGTTTCCAAGTCCTGAAAAGCTTTTCCATCCTGAACCCTGAGGAGGGAGACACAAACAGTTCAGCTTCACAGTGATAGCTGTCACATGAGTGGATTTACTACATATTTGAAACATGAGTGTCAGTATGTTTACTTGTACTTGTGGTGAGTCTCAGCCAGATGGCTAAACTTCACCCGCATCTCCTTTGCCCTGAAACACACAAGCACAAGATATCACACACCATTCACAATACACTCTCACTTATTCACATAAAAAAACATGATGCATACTTACTTCTCCCGGCATGAGGAGGGCAGAGAGGAGAGCCCCTTACACATTGAGGTGTGTAGTTTGAGTAAACTGGCAAAGGGAAAATGAACAGGTCGAGGTGTATTTGATTGCAGTAGACACTTTCCTCTCAAACTACAGTGTGCTGCTCTTATATAGTCTACCTGTTTGCTATCTGATATGTTACTCTGTTCCCCTCAGACCAGCAGGTGTATAGACGGCAGTTGAATAGAGTTGAAAACAGCTGAATGAGAGAGGTGGTGTACGTGCTCATGGGCCATGTAGCCCTGTCAACAGGTGAGACCAAGCAAGTCAGCACATATAATAGGAAAATTAAAGCAAGGGGACCTCCAGTCTGTGTGTGTGTGTGTGTGTGTGTGGTGTGTGTGTGTGTGTGCGCTTGGTCAGGGATCATTAATAGTCTAAAAAGTCAGTCATAAACAAACCCTAAATTGGCCTTTAGAGTGTTTAACATGAGAATAAAGTGATGAGGGAGGAGCAGGTGGGCGGGCAACACTCACCTGTGGAGTCAGAGAGCTGCAGGATGGAGTGATGCTGATGGACGAATACAAAAGAAGACAAAACATCATTAAATATATATATAAATATATATATATATATATATATATATGTAGTATCTCTGCAGGAACAATACCATTGTATCTGCCCTCTCCTTTTATTAATCTGTTTTTTCTCTTTTGTTCTGATTTGTTAATTGCCTATTTTGTAAATGTCTAACGTGGTTCTCTGCAGTCAGTGCTTATCTATTACGGTAAATAACATTCATCTATATTCATAGATAGATAGATAGATAGATAGATAGATAGATAGATATAATTTATTGATCCCAAGCTGGGAAATTGCAGATATGTATAGCCATATAACGTGGGAAGCTTCTCTGTTCTCACCTTAAATCTGAGTTTGTATCTTTTAAATGAAAAAAATTACATTTAAGAAATATGCATAGTTTCTATTCTTCCGTTTTTTGGGGGATGGGATGCTTTTCGTCAAAAATCAGACAAATTACTTTTCAAAGATGAGTCTTTAATCATGTCTGGAGGGGATTTTTAAGTATAAACTTATAACATAATGTAAAATTACTTCAACGTTTACATTTTTAAGTTGATTATAATGATTTTTTTTGTGTCTATGCAATCTTCTAAGGGGGGGAAGCAGTGGTGGAGGCGGTTCCAGGGTCTGGGGTGAAACCAATGAAAAGGGCACCAGCCTGCTGAAAGTTGTGATGCATTTCTGATGAAACAGCTTATTCAGGGTTAGGATTAGCATCACAGAGGGCACTTCGTCACGTTTTGTCCACTGGAATCATAGCATCATATGGCATGTTTTATCTACCACAGGGGCATCCAAGAGGGTACTTTTGCAGCGTTTTTCCTCCACCAGTGGGGGGAGTGGGTGCACCTTGGCTTTATGGCCTCAGTAGAGGATTTAGGACATCGGTGGCCTAGTTCTAAAAATCCTGGCTAGACCCTGGGTGAGGATCTTCATTCTGTGTGATGTCAGGAGCAAACACATCTGTACTCATTAATAATAAAAAAACTGGGCTACCTATTAATGGCTGATACAAGCTCCTGCAGTGCCCCAGCATTTTAACACCGAGCACATCCTCCATACACACGCACACACACACACACACGCACACACAAACAAGAACACAAACAAACACACACACTCGGATCTTACACTTGGCCGTCAGCAGGCTCCACCAGCGGGGGGACGGCGGTGTTTCTCTCGCTTCCTGATTCCTCAACGAGAGTCGCTGTGACATCTAGAAGACGGAGCGATCAGTAGTGAACACAGATCCTCTCTGGACCCGCTGAATCCACAAACCTGCTTGTTTGCTGTCAAATCCGGTTCCTGGACGGACGCAGATTCATTAAACAGAGCTCCGGACCCGCTGGTTCCTCCCGAGTCCTGATCCTCTGCATCCGACCATGGGCACAGACATACAGTGAGTCACAAAATGGTCTCGTAGGTCTTATTATTAGACCCTAACAGCGTCCATAGGAGTGCACGGATCGAGTGGTCATGAATGTAAAGGCCTATGGAAGATGTCTGGATCAGTCTGAGCGACTTATTTATATACAGTCAGTGCTTTGCATGCAATGCATTACCAATATATCGGCAATACTCAATAATTTCACCAAACATCTCTTATTGCTCAGCTCCCCCCAGAATGTTTGGTAATCCATGAAATCCCACAGACCTTAAAACATCTGAATAATGAGAACAGATGGAGAGAAACGTCTTAACACAAACCAGGACGTGTCCTGTCATGCAAACTGAATTATTCAAAGAAGCTTGTTGATTCATCTTGAACAGCAAAAAGTGTCTACTGCCCTTATGCCATATGTTTAGACAATATACAAACTAACAGGAACACACTGTATATCCAGTGTAATCCATTCAATTATAATGCAATCTGGGACATAGTCTTAATCAGTGGTTTCCTGACTGACCCCTTCAAGCAAAGCTATGTCTACATGTGACCCCTTATCACTGGTTATGGAGCAGAAAGTTTTCTTATTTACTCTCCTAAAGTGGAAGTCCTACTACTGTGTATGTGTAATGTAATAAAAATTTGTAATAAAACAAAAAGATATATATATATATACATATATATATATTACTGACATAAACATTAAACAGAAAACATATCTCAACAAACATACATATATAGTCTGTTGTTAATGTGGACATTGGCCTGGGCTGATAGACCTGGACTAATTGGATTATACCATAAATTATAATCCCTGTCCACCGCTCCTAATCTCTGTCAAGGCTCGAGGCTACATTAGCCAATAGTAGCGCAATTCACTGGAATATCCAACCAAACTGTCGGTGGAGTTGCATTATGGCTAAAGTAGATGCCAGGTTTTGACAAGGAAGAGGAACATTTGTAAAGAAAAATGTCACCTTTTAATCCTTTTTTATAAGACAGTCTATTGTGAGTTCAACAGTGTTTATAGAGTTGCAATGCTAAATCAGTGGAGTACTCCTTCAGTGGATCCTCAAAATCAATATCCCTGTATCCCATCAGCTGACTCTGACTGACACCAGTTATGGGAACCCAACAGACTTGGTTCCCCAGGGCACACTGCCAGGACAGCAAATCTTCTGATCCAGACCAGGAGAGGGAGAAGCTTTGGGCTGAGCTGTTTGATCAGCTGGACCTCAACAAAGATGGACATGTCGATATCCTTGAACTGCGGACAGGGCTGGCAGGCCGAGGGATTTCCAAAGGCTCCCTGGAGAGGGTGAGACAGCAGGACACCTGAATCACACACAGTGCACACGCATAAAGTTTACATACAGAGAATCTCTAATAATAAATCGGAGAAGCCAATGATCTCTCCTCCACATTAAACATCCAGTTAAGGCCATGAGATCCTTTGTATTTTTCATTATGTTGAACTTCCTAGTTCAGTCTACAGTATATGTAGGTGAGGCAGTTGTATCGGGGCCAGCAGCCGTCCAGGGCCCGCAACGGACCGCTCGTATCAGCACCGCTGCTATAATCTTGACTGACGTGAGCTGGACCTACATCATATGCAGCCAATCAGTTTACATGTTAACAGTTGTCAATGTAATAAGATGAAACACTTTCATACACAAACATTTTATTGACTCATACCTCTGTACATTTATGTTGTACAATAATCAATCTATTATCATTACTTTCTATAGCACAGTTTTAACTCAGGTGTCATCTGTGCATTTTACTGTTACTGGTCTTTTTAAAGCTGCATGCTTTAACTTTTTTAATTGCCACTGACATTACATCAGGTTATGTCTGATTGTAATGGCTTTGATCCTGTTGCATTGGGGCCCAGTGCTGACTCGTTATGCCGCTGTCCTTGATCTTAATGATCTGCCTGCTGTTTGTGCAACAGCAAAAACCAAGGACATCAATAGCATAACTTTATTATGAATACACACAGTCTGTCTCTCTCCTCTCAGTCTGTCTTTGACTGTTTGTGTGTGTGGGTCACCAAGAAGACTCACTGTCACTTTCTGCCATGCTGCCTTTCTCTCTCCCTCTTCTGTGTGTGTATGTGAACATATATTACTCATGTTGTGGGAACATAAACATGTTTACACAGCCACATTGTGAGGACTCGCCTCCGTTTTGGCGACAAAATGCAGGTCCCCGCAACGTACATAATTAGATTTTTGACTTTTAGATTTAGGGTAAGAGTTGTTGACTTTGACTGTGTCTGTATGTCTGTGTGTCTGTGTGTCTGTG